CCCTCCGCCGACTGACGATACTGCTTTGCTCTCCTTTACGCTCGACTCTGGCACGTCCATCTGCTTCTTTCGCGGCCACACTGCGCTCACGCCGCTTGCTGTCCCTGCCGATGAAGCGCTTGCTGACCCCTCCTCAGGTTCGGTAGTTGCCCGTAGGTCCACTACCTTCCCTATTCGGTGGTTCCCTCGGGCTCTCTTACAGGCTTGCACGTCCCCTCGTTCTCTAGGAACCTAGTTGGTGTCGGCTGTCTTCAAGACCTCGGCGTCACCACTACGTTCCCTGGACACGAGCGGTTTGCAGTCTGTACCGAGGTCACCACTGGTGCCCCTCTCACCACGTTCCCCTGGGACCCCGTATCTATCCTGTTCACCCTAGACACCGTGTCCCCCCCAGTAGAGTGTCCCCCTAGGTCGCCACGTCCTCCCAGGTTGCTGCAGCCTACTCAAATCGATCGCTCACCCACTTGTCGCTACTATGGCACCGCCGCCTAGGTCACCCCGCACTTCCGCGTCTGCGTCAGATGTCCCATCACGGTCTTGTCTCCGGTCTTCCTGCGTCGCTCCCAACCCTACCGCCTACGCTGCCTCACGAAACTGCTAAGAAAGACGTGCCCGCGTGACGTCACTTTTGATGAGTATGTCTCCTTCTACCACCGCTTTCCCCACCGAGGTCTCCCGGTTTCCCCGCCCCTAGTTTTGGTTCCCACTCCCCCGGTAGCCCCTGCTCCTCTCCCTCCCCGTTTTGCCTCATCTGGTGTGTCTCACGTTACTCCTCTCCCGCCGGTTGTCCCTGTGGAGGAGTCGGCTGACTTTGGTGGCCCCACGGCGCCATTCTTGCCGCCTGTTTCCGCCCCGATGTCTCCTCCTCCGCCATCGCAGCAGCCGCCGCCGTCGCCTTTTGCAGCAGCAGCCGCAGTCGCCGCCGCCGCAGAAGCAGCTGTCATAGGGGTCTTTGAGCTCTGGGGTTCTTGTCGTGGCTTGTCTCGGTGGTCCTGGGGGTGGCACCGGTGCTCGAGAGGGTTCTCGTTCTGGAGGTGCTGGTTTTGGGGGTGCTAGCCCTGGGGTTACTGTCGTGGCTCGTCCCGACGGTCCTGGGGGCTGCACCGGTGTTGGAGAGGGTTCTCGCTCTAGAGGTGTTGGCAAGGAGTTTCCCAGAGGTAGCTGTGGTGCAACTGGAGGTTCTGATATCGGTGTGGAGCAGGAGCAGCAGCAGCAGTCGCCGCCGGTGTCCGCCCTTCGCCTCCTCGGTCTTCCCTCCCCTGATCACCCGCCTGCGCCTCCCCTGTTGCCACCTCCCCTGCCTGTCTACGACCCTGTGTTTCCTCCACCGGACTCGTCTTCGACTCGTTTTCCCCCGCGTTCTCCTCCTGTGTCTCCTCTTGTGTATCCTGACCTTATGCCTCCGTCCCACTCCTTGTCTTGCCGTCCCTCTCGTGCTTGTCATGTCTCTCCTGTCCAGCGCGACAAGGATCGGTGATGGTGTGAGGACGTGTAACATGTGTGGGGGTGGGGTTCATACGCAAGATTGGCGAACGCATGGAGAGGCCAGTGTATGAGGGCATTTTGCGTGACGAACTTGAATTGACCCTCCATTTCTTTAGCATTTTCCCCTCTTAGGTCATCTCGGTGCGGACAATGACCCCAAGAATTTGTTATGCCTAGTGCATGAATGACTTGGAGAACATGAGTATGTAGCCCTAGAGTGGCCTTCTTTCTCATCAAACCTCAACCTCTGGGCTTACCTGAAAAGGGAGCTAGCCAAGCATAAAAGGCCTAATGCTAGAGCTTTAAGAGCTGGTCGAGGAAGAATGGGAGAAGATCCATACCGAGGTTTGCTCTAGCCTTATCGACAGCTCGCCTAGGAGGCTGTGGGCGGTGATCAAAGGCCAAAGGTCGGTGGGCTAGAAACTAGAAACACACTTTTGAAGTTTGCTCTCTGCTTGGAACTATTTGTCCGTATGTACCATTTGTGTCTTTTTTTGATATGAGTTAGATCCAATGTACTATTCTGGATATTTGTGCTATGAACACATCCATTATGTGCTCTTCTCAAATCGTACAACCCTTAAATATTAAGGCTTAATGTATAGTGGTGTTAAACCCTAAAAACCCAAATTAATGCAAAACATACGGACAATTGTTTCCGCCACTGTATATTGTTATAGGCTAGATAGGTGCATGCTATAACGAGTAAAACACCTAGCACAAAACTTCCCTATACCACCCTTCCTAGTCTAATTTCGTTACTCTGAGACTCCGTTCTTGTCCGTGGTGCCGAGACTGTGAAAATCCCCACGTGCATCAAGTTTACAACAACATTTTTTACCAAGTCATGAGGTTGTTCATGACACATGCAGAGACAAGTGTCTATGTCTCGCGAAAGTGAGCAAACTCCATCAGCACCTTGACGAACGACACTTGGGTCTTCAAATCTTAACGTCGTGTGAATACGTCCCAGTTTGAATGCCGTATTTCCCAAACGCCAGCGAAAATTCCGAAAGTCGTCGTGATCCATCTCTTTCGGGACGGTTCTTGTCCATAGATGCTGTCGGTCAAACGGTATGTGACCGTCGATGTTGCCTAGGTCGTTGAGGGAAACGGAAAAAGAAATGCAGCACAGCTGCTCTCTCCACCCTCCTTTGAATATTGAGTGCACTCCCAGCTGTAAAATCTAGAACTGCTCCACCCAGCTTGTGGCCGCAAACCAGCTGAAACAATCCCATATCTCAACTTAAAAGTTGAGCTCCACATTGCTCTTACTTAAATCTGAAAACTGCTTCAATAACTGCAACTCTGTAATGGTTTGGGTAGCTGCAATCTCCACACGTTGGGACCAATGGCAGCGCGACCCCATACGCAGGGCAACTGCACTACATAGACCCTGGCTCCAATCGACACCGTAGATCAGAATTTTTCTCCTCAAACTGCCATTGATCTGCTTCTTGTTATTACCCGTTGTTGAATATTTTGCAAACCCTCCTGACCGGTTCGCCGTGCAGATGTTCACCCATCACGCTGCTATGGCAAGAACCCCAGAAAGATCTCGGGTACATGTCTCAGCTACGAGAAACGCGTTTTCTGCAGTTTTACCGACACACCGTGCTGGTATTTAAACCATCACACAACTCGGTAGGTACCCGTGGACCCTCGCTACCGCTCCATCCAAAACCTGGAGATTTCCTACCGTGAAAAGACCCGACGTTTATCGACGCGCCGACGTTCACCCATCATTGCGCCCGTCCAGGTAAATCCACAAATGAGTCCTCGTAGCCGAATCTTGGATTATAGACCCGCAAATCAGGGATAATCCTTGAAGACTCCCGCGCGACTCCAAATTTTCCGTGACGGCAACACGCTTCTCCCACTGCAACAGTAACCCTTGATTTTCCTGCTCCAAACTGCGCAAAGATCTTCAAACTGCTTTCGAACAGTAGCGCGCACGCTTCGCCGAAAAGCTGCTACTGTTGTTGCCCACAATTTTCCCTCCCGAAAATGACGAAGCCGTTGTGGTCGTTGTCGAAATCTCGCCAAGCTGAAGTTCACCCATCGCACAACAATCTCATTCTTTCTTCAAACGATCCACCAGCGCAGGGTAATCCGCAATCTCACCCCCCTTATTTGTCCAGGACCGTTGGAGTATCATTAAACCCGAACTGGTAAACCTGGTGGTGGTGCTAAAAAATGGGGCGACCCAGCCAGTCAATAGGGGGATCCGGTCTGCTACTGACTCTTAACCAGCTGTTCCCGGTCGTTCTCCTTCTCTGCTTCCGCTCTTCAACGTTGACTTTAAGTGGTGACCCGGTGATGACACTTAAAAGCTGACTTGCGTGTAGTTCCTGTTCATCCTCCCTAGATCGTAGAGTGTATTTTCTGACAACGAAAATGGCTTTCTCAGCGAAAATCCAGACTCGCCAAGCTCGAAACTCCAGGGCAGACGAAATACGGTTCCAGGCGGGCAGGTCACGCGAATCAATTCCAAGGTCAGTAACTCCTCCGTGTGCTACAGTGCGATCCTTCGTCATGCCAGAAACTCCAAAGCCACGTTGCTGAACAGTATCCGAAGCGCGTCTTCACCTGCGTGTCCCCTACCAAAAACGCCGAAAATCGTGACGCCCAGCTACAAGTTCTTTTTGCAGCTGAAGATCAACTTCGCACGGTCCTAACGAAACACTCTTCTCGCCTGGGGATTTTCGTGAGCCCGTTGCCTCGTGGCGAGCTCCTCGCCTTTTTAGCCGTCAAATCGGTGAACCACGTCGCCACGCTCGAAATCGTATTCGCCGCGTGTCGACGACGTCAGTTGCCACAACAAAGACAACCGAGGTTGAACAGTGATGAACTCCAGAAACCCACGTGGCAGCAAAATCTGTCTGCTCCCGTGGGGAGGGAGGATACGGTCCATCCTGACCATCTGAAGGCAGGGATCGAGCGGCGATGGTGCGCACACGCTACCGTAGACGTTGCAGCTAATCATATCTAGCTGCAGGACAACTGCTGTGCAGCTCCGTGCCCTCCAGCCATCCCCCCCCCCCCCCCCCCCCCCCCCCCCCCCCCCTCTCAGGAAAAAAATTATGTGCGGCGAAAGCTGTTGCCTAGGAAAGTGCTCTGAATGCCAGGTGTTATGGGTGAAAAACCGAGTAGTGCGGAAGTGAATATCGAGATTCGAAATGACATAATCACAGGTTCGGAGAAGGCGTTCTAGGACGCGGAGCGCTTCGGAATGACGCGGGAAAGGTTCGGTGTGGCACGTACGGTGACGGAACTAGGGCCTAGCCCGGTGCCGTGTACGTTCGGTGTATGCGCTAGCGGTGCGCCTTAGTAAGGAATTACTATCAAGAATGGGCGATTCGCGAGAAACTATCAAGCCGCGTTCATTACGGTACTAGGCTGTAGTGCGAAGAGTAACAGCGTGGTTCTGATTGAAGGACCTGGAAATTTCTTCAGAGTTATGAAGTATTTGTTGATATTGTGCTTGCATGCTTGGAATTGGATTCTGAAAATTGCCAATTGTTAGGAGCAACACAACATTGGAAATTTGGGGCAAGGAGGCAATAGCAATAGCCTGTACTGAGGATGTGTACAAAATGATTGGCCGAATCAGTCCCAATCGGTCCCGCCTTGCCTACTGTTCCTGTCCAAATCAATGCCACGCGACTCGCAAACGGGTGGTCCAATGTAGGGCATCACCTGTACTGACGGTTGACCTCCCCTTGTGATGCATTTGTGAGCCTATCAATGTTTGTGTCCCTAACGAACTACGAACTCCGTGTGGCTGTCTGAGGCTCGAGGTACTTGAGATATTTCTGCTTTAGAAGGGAGAGGGAGATTCAGGAAATTTTGGTCTATGCTGCCACGAAAGCGTGTGCTTTAGGGCCCAAAGCACGCCATGGATCCGGGACAAAAAAACAGAAACTAGAACAGATTCAAGTAAATAACAAAAATGCGAAAGCATAGACACTGGAGCTGGAATGTGCCTTTGAATGCTTACATCCAGTCCGTGAATGTGTGCCACTGCTGCTTTGAGCAAGCATGCAGTGCCCATGTGTGGGCCGTACACTGACTCCGTTACAATTGCAGGGCACTCAGGATTTCCAGCATTGACGCAACAAACTCACCTCCAGTCCGTGAATGTGTGCCACTGCTGCTTTGAGCATGCATGCAGTATCCCGATGTGGGCCGTACAGCGACTCGGGCACAACGGCTCGCAGGCGAAGGAGGGCGTCTCTGCAGGGAGAGAGGATAAGGGAAAGAAAATTTATGAGGGATCAGCAAGTGTTTTGAGGTCTCATTGAAGGAGAAAATATTTGCGAACAGCAGAGGGTGAAGGAGCAGCGGCGATTGCAAACTGTGGGATGGGCTGTACAGGGCATGCAGGCCCAGTGACCCAGCGACTCTGAACCAGCAGACAAATTTTGGGTTGCGGGTAGCTGGGAGCTACTAGCGTGTGGGTTGCATACCTTTTGCGGTGGCGCCTTCTCCTCTCCTCCACAGTGTGATGATTCTCACTCGGCTCTTTTCCCCCTGCCTCTTCCAGCGCCCGTGCCTCTTCCAACGACCTTGTCTCTTCCAACGCCAACTCAGCCTCCTCCAAGTGTGCTTCTTTCGTCCCTTGTGGCCCGTGCCTCTCATTGCATTGAATCCCTTGCCCCTTGTCGCCTTGCTCCCCTCGCCTCTTCACACCCTCCCCCTTCCTCCCCTCACATATGCCCCACTGATCACCTGTGGACGCATCAGCCAATGGGGTCCTGCCAGCTGCCCTCTTTGCCGCTTCCCGCACCATGTGTCGTGTCCAGCTAGCCCTAGGCCCTGCCGTGCTGCCACTTGATGCCCTTATCTGCTGCACCGTGGCAGTGCCATGATGGGATATCCCTATCTGAGGCGCTGCTGCTGTGCTGCCAGGTTCAAATACCCTTACCAGATGCCCTGCCATGCTGCCATGATGAGACGGCCATGGTTTGATTCTGCCCTTCCGATCGGTGGGTGGAAGTTCCCACGACGACTCAGAACTACCCCAGCTCGCCCTGGACCCCGTGGAACTGCCAAGGGACAATCTCATCTGAGCTGCTTGCAACACCAATTCAGAGCTGTGAAGGGAGGCCAGCCACTCATTGCCGGGCATCGGAGTTACCGATGGCTGCCTTGGCGCCTCGCGGGCCATTTGCCGGCTCCAGCAGGATCTCGGGACCACAGCGTCCCCGGGCTTTAAGGCAGCAGATTTGAGGCGCCTCAGAACCACAGGGTCCCAGGACCAGGAGGCAGCAGCACCAGGGGAGGATGAAGGTGAAGGAGAGGTAAAGGCAAAGGCCATGTCAGCAGTTTGATCCAGCCCGGCAGCATCCCAAGGCCTGGAGGGAGCAGCTCCAGGGGAGGGTGAAGGTGAAGCAGAAGCAACGGCAGAGGCAACGGCAGAGGCAAAGGCAAGGTCAGCAGATTGGTCCAGACTGATAGCATTCCCGGGCCTGGAGGCAGCAGCAGCAGCTTTAAGGCACGTCCGAAGCACGGCTTCCTCCGGATTCAAGGCAGCAGTGAAGGCAGCCCCGCCAGGCGAGGATGAAGGTGAAGGAGAAGCAGAAGCAGAAGCAGAACCTAGAGCAAAGGCCTGGTAAGCAGATTGGTCTGGACCGGCAGCACGTGGCTGCGGCTTCAAGAAAGAATGCTTCTCTTGAAGTTTCTTTGCCAGGCCTTGTCTGAGAGGCGCCTCAACGACAGACTTGGCCAGGCCACAATGGTAATTGCTCTCCCCGCCCTGCTGCCGCTCCTGCTGCTGCTGTTGCTGCTGCTGTTGCTCCGAGCCTCTGCCTCTCTTCCTGGATCCAGAACGGAGAAAGCCGGACACTGGCTGGCTGGTAACATGGTAACCATCAGCATCCGACCAGCCATTCTGGAAAGTGTGTGAGAGTGAGAGGGGCAGCTGGGTAAGTTTGCTGGAGGGTTCGCAAGCCAGCGGCGTCGATCCACGGCGCAGAGTGCTGCTTGTTGGTGCAGCAGTGGAGCAGGTAGAGGAAAGAAGTTTAGCCGTGGTTGGAAGGATGGAAGGGTGGAAGGCGGTAGAAGGAAGAGCAAGAAGGGTGGAGGTCCAGAGCAGATCCGAGACAGCAGATGAAGCAGACACGGTGTTACTGCTGTGCTGATTGGTGGGTGCTGATGAGAGCCTGGAGAAGAGGGTGGGATTATGACTGGCAGAGTCTCCAAAGTTTGGGAACATAGGCACGCTGGCTTCTTCTGCTCCTCCGCCTTTCAGAGGTGCTGGCGTCCCTCCAACCAGTTCTGCTGGTGCAGTCGTTGCTATCGCTGCTGCTGCTGCTGCCGGTGCTGCCACTGCTGCTGCTGCTGCATCCTGCGCTGCTGGTTCCGACGGCAGCACAGAGAGCACAGTGGAGCCTGAACCCCATCCCGAACCTATGCCGTCGCTCACAATAGCCCCGAAATCATCCAGCCACGTGTCTGAATCCGGACCGTTGCTTGCCCCACGCATCATCATGGGGCCGAGCGTACCCATGTCGCATATGCTGCCCTCAGTGGCACCATGAGAGGAGTGACCCGCGCGCACCCATGTGAGACTTGGCTGGGCATCATCTGCAGCACCCATGGCGGCTAGAAGCTCTGGAATGAGCTCTTCCGACGCGGCTGGTAGTCCCAAGTCCTTTCCGCAATCGCCTCCCGTTATAGTCTCGGGGAAAGAGGATGGAGTGGGAAGGGAGAGGAAATCTAGGGAGGCAATCTCGTATGGATGCGCCTGGTTTGTAAGCGCCGGGAATGAATCCATCTAGTTTGCGGTGACCCTTACAATGTCGCTGGAACTTAAGACTCCTAGAGCTTCCTTACTGCGCTAAATTACAGCGCGTACACCCGAAGACCTCGACCTCGCAGTTTTGGCCTCAATTATCGGTCCAAACCTCCCGGAGTCGCGTTCCGACACCCTCGCCACCCTTGAAAGCCACCTCACGCCCCAAGGTTCTCACCCTAGCACGTACGAGCCCTACTGTAGCCAGTTCGCTCGTCACTTACTCAATCAATTATTACTCCTAGGGATTATTTCCATTACTCAGTTGATTGTTCCATTCCCACTCATAACACTTGGTATTCAGAGCCACTTGGAGGGATGGCTGGTGGGCTGCGGGGCTGCACAGCGGTTGGCTTGGAGCTAGTTTGTCAGCTCGTCCGACTAAGGCGTGTGCGCTCCCTTCGTCACCAGACCCCTGCCTTTGGACGGCCAGGATTTGGTTGGGTCCTCCCTCCCCCCGGGAACGGACAGCTGTGGCTGTCACGGCAGTAATTCGCCAAGTGAGTTGGTGATTTATGCATTTACTTCGTTCGTTTTGTGTGGCAACATGGCGTCGACATGGCGGGAAATCTTCAAGCGGCTTGCCAGGAGACGTCGTCAGCGGCTGTGCGAAAAAAGCGAAGGCTCGCCCAACTCCATGAGAAGTTTTTGGAGTTCGCCAAGCGCACGTGTGATGTGTCAGAAGTATACACGGGAAAAGCGCGGGGAGCGAGAGACGCGAAGAATTCGTCGGCGCTCTGTTTCATGTGCAAACCGACAACATCGGAGGATTGGGCCTTGGTGTGATGTCGCGCTCTGATAACTTCGTCGAGGGGACAACGACAGTGGGAAGGCGCGGCCTTGATTCGACGAGAAATCCGGAAGCGACAACCTACACAACGACCAATTTTCGTACAGCACCAGGATGGCACTGGGATGTCACCAACACGTGTCGAATAGTTGGCAGCTGGATTGCAGTCAGGCTTTACGCGTGGTCTACAACCTGCCGACACTGTACCTACATGCCGGGCAAAAGTTTCCTGACGAGGAAACCAGCTCGAGAAACGATGGCCAGGGCTCCGCGATAAAAGGGACATGGGGCGCAACCCACAGATGCTGCAAAATAAATTCTTGACAGGTCCGTCGCACGCGTCTCCCTGGGTCACCGTAAGGGCGAAGTTTTCGGATTCTAGAAGAAAAGAGGTTGCGGCGGAGGGGAAGTTCAGGACTGCAGATTTTGCTGTGCTTCAGTAGCGGTTTGGCCACCAGCTGACGGAGCGTCCTTTCCACCGACTTGCAATGGCCTCCACCTGGGAGTAGTGGTGATTTATGGGGTCATTTCACCTTCCAGATCCGTAACGGGGGTTAAAGCTGGAACTTCCTTCGTGCTGGCGAAGATTTGGGGAGCTGACCTTGAAATGGTGTTCGTCCGAGGGGATTAGCATGGCTGCACATCGATCACTTCGGTGATTAATGACATGTGCGCTGGCTTCTGCTCCGTCCAGGCCACCTTGACGAGCTGGAGAAAGAAAAAAAAGGGGGGGTTTTGGGTAATTCGTGGTGCCAGAGGGGACTAGCATAGCTGCGCAGCGGTTGGCTGGGAGTTAATATTTTTACACCACCGACTAAAGGCGTGCGCGCTAGCTTTTGCTTTGTCCTACCCAGGATTGCAGTTTTACAGTTGTTTACTTATCGACAGAAGCGGAAAGCTGGGTGAACGACGACCTCCCGAAAAAAGTCGGGGAAGCTGTGAAGAACTATTCGGTGTTGAGACTGTTCCGTGGGGAGCTCGACACAGTATCCGAAGTTTTCGGAGTGCGGCTAAGCGGAGGGCATTGTCCCAGCTTTTCACGGGCTACTACGACGCGTGATAATGCCTAGGACTTGTTTGGTGTTATGGCGAGCGCAAAGATGAGTGAACGTCGGTGCGTTGCAAAAATGTCCGGTACCAGATGGGGAATTCTTCGAAGACCAGCGGCGCAGCTGCTAAGCACATGAAGTTTACGGGTATCTGAGTACCAGTGAGGTGGTTTTGGGTAACTTGCAGCAGCCATGAGATGGGTGAACGTCTGCACGGCTAGCTGGTCAGGGGTACCAGGGTATTTTAAGAGTTTGGGTTACAACTGTGAGGAGATCGACGACGTATGATGCTCGCCAGCCATGATCGACGGCCGAAGACCCATGCCCAGGCGGTGAACAGCGAGTACCCTTGATTAAAGGGCTCCGTTCATGTGTACAGCTGGTGACGGACCGATAAGGGTGCAGCTAAAGGACGGCACATCTGTGTTTACGGGTAGCTGCGAAGCACATGCAGCTGTGAAGCGGAGTTGCGGTATTTGTGAAGTTACGGGAGAAGTTCCGACATTTTCGCTGGAAGACACAGTGAAGCAGTTCAAGGTTTTGCAGCTGGCATGGTGCCCGCTATAAACAGGGGTACGAGCGACTTCATCTGACTTTTGCAGAGTAGTTTGGTTTCATGGAGAGTGAAGGAGCAGTAGCTGTTTCAGGTCTTCTAAAACATTTGGCATGTACGGACAAAACGGAGTTGCCGTCGTGTGACCCTGGGTTCGGCTCGAGAGTGTTTACTAGATTGGGTCAGGGCATGTCATTTTCCATAACCATCGTCGTCAACTTCTCGCCAACATCCACTACCGCCTCCATCGTCAAGTCGCCTAACTTCGTTCGCTATACAGAACACGACCCCGCCATCCGCCTGGAGCATCGCATCGACGAGATTTGGCAGCAGTACTGTTGGAGCTGTGTTGGGGCCAGCTCGCAAGCAGTGGTTTGACTCGTGAAGATTTTTTCAGTTCGTCTGGGAGTTATTTCTGGAGCAGTATTGCTGATTTTCAGGACTTCAGAAGCGGTTTTTCCTGTCGAAGAATTCAAATTCGGAGCAGAATTGGGAGTTCCACCCATTGGAGTTTCATCGACCTCTTCGAAACTGAGTTTTTATAGGAGTTTATATCGCAGCTGGGGTACCGTATTCCCCCGGATATTCGCGCCTAGGTGCGGTTAGGGATTATAGTCTCAAAATGGGGGGTGCGTTTATTCGATTTTTTTTTATATGGCACAGTGCGTTTAAAAATGTTCTATAGGAAAATACAAAAAAGGCATGAAAATGTAGCTCAAACAATTTCAACTCGAGTGGATGTGCTCCCAAACGCGAATACCCCAAATAACCCCTTGAAAACCTACCGACACTAAATCGACTCGCCAACAAGGCAAGATCTGTGCACTTTGTCAGGGGGCAGACAAGACGGATCGATCCTGGCCGTCCGTTCCCCTCGTATCACACGACAACAAAGCAATGTTGACCACAATTCGCGTGAGGTGGCGAGAGGATGGATTCTGTGTGATGAAACGAAGTCTCCCGAATCTCAACTTGAATTTGTGGTCAACCCAGTCAGCGCAAGATACTTGCACGGGAAAAAATGAGGGTGCGTGTAGGGATAAGATCCTGGGCAGAGGGGAGGTGCGTATAGATGGCACGTCCGATATGGCACCCCTCCGGATATACGCACCATGGTGCGTATATCCGGGAGAATACGGTATTTTACGGCTACCCTTGAGCCTTAAGTTGTCAAACATATATTGTATGCTTCTCTAGACCATATAGGGTTGTGCCTTAGGGAGTATAACCCATTAGGTTATATTCCCTTGTATGTCTTATTCTAGTCATTCTTTCACTTAAGCATAGTATCATGAGTAGGTACATCCCCCCCCCCCCCCCCCCCCCCTGTAGCGCTTCCGCCCTAGGTCCTAGCCGCCTAGTCGCCCCGCGGCCCCGTCCCCTAGCGGCCCCGCAGCCCCGTCACCTAGCGGCCCCGCGGCCCCGTCCCCTAGCAGCCTCGCGGCGCCGTCACCTCGCGGCCCCGCGGCCCCGTCCCGTAGCGGCCCCGCTGCCACGTCCCCTAGCGGCCCCGCGGCCCTGTCACCTAGCGGCCCCGCGGCCCCGTCACCTAGCAGCCCCTCGGCCCTGTCCCCTAGCAGCCCCGCGGCCCCGTACACTAGCAGCCCCGTGGCCCCGTCACCCTGCTGCCCCGCGGCCCCGTCACCCAGCGGCCCCGCGGCCCCGTCCCCTAGCGGCCCCACGGCCCCGTCCCCTAGCGGCCCCGTGGCCCCGTCACCCTGCTGCCCCGCGGCCCCGTCACCCAGCGGCCCCACGGCCCCGTCCCCTAGCGGCCCCACGGCCCCGTCCCCTAGCGGCCCCGCGGCCCCGTGCCGCGCGGCCCCGTCCCCTAGCGGCCCCACGGCCCCATCACCCTGCGGCCTTGCGGCCCCGTCACCTAGCGGCCCCGCGGCCCCGTCCCCTATCGGCCCCGCGGCCCCGTCCCCTAGCGGCCCCGCGGCCCCGTCACGTCGCGGCCCCGCGGACCCGTCACCTCACGGCCCCGCCTCCCAGCTGGCCCCGCCTCCTAGCCGGCCCCGCCTCCTTGCCAGCCTCGTCGCCCAGCCGGCCCTGTACCCCTTACTGGCCCCCTCGCCTTGACGGCCCCATCGCATTGCCGCCCGCGGCCCCGTCTCCTAGACGCCTCGCCGCCGTCCTCGGCCCTATGCACCGCGCTGCATCGCCCAGCACCTCCCTGAACCGCACTGCACCGCATTGCACCGCACAGCACCGCTCTGCACCGCTTATCACCGCACCCTACTGCCCAGTACAGCCTTTCTACTGCTGCAGCGGCCATGATGGCGGACTCGGTCCTGCGGTTTGATGCGTAGGGGCAGCCGATTGAGTTCGACTCGTGGCTCGTCGACCTCCAACGACACCTGACTAGTCAGCGGTAGGACGGACACTCCCTGGCCGTCCACATCGATGGTACGTTCCCCTGCCCGGACCCCCCAGCTACCCTCCCCACTGATCCCACGTCTGCGACCTTGAGTCTGCTGCCGCTGCTGCCCTTGCCCATGCGGTATGGTTGTCGCGTGACGCGGTCGCACTGCTTGCGATTAGTCATGTCCTTCCCCTGTCTAAGTGCCCCCGCTTTAGGTCGGTCAGGACTACGCAGGATTTCCTAGAGGCTGTTGTTGCGCGCTATTCCACC